TTTTGTTCTTTAAAATACCAACTAAATCCAATTGCTACCAGGAACCACCTTATAAGTTGAGTAATGAAACTTTTTTCTTCTATAAATTTTCTTATCTTACCTAGTACATAATTATAAAATCAATACATTGATCTTCCACTCAGAATCTAGAATTACATTAAATGGTTAGTWAAGTGCAACAATTTAAAACTAAACAAATAATAATATGTTGTCTAAAAAGTATATTTTCTWTTTTATTTAGACTATTGGCAATACTTCCGTAGAAGAAACACTGGATACAATGCCTGAAATGATTTCCAAAGCTTCTATGGTTCATGAAAGGGTGAATAATCTACTTTTAGGCTATGAAATCTTGGATATACCATGAAAACTTTTAAATTAACTGTGCTGTGAAATACTTAGCCACTTGGTACTATGTTAATTTTGTATATCATAGATCTTCTTTTATCTAAATTGAAGAAAAGTATACACAGTATAAATTTCTGTTAGTTAGTTATCTGAAGACATTTTAGTAATTATAATTGTGTAATAATTACTTAGTCGTTGTGGAATTATTTAAACTTGACATTTCTATAATTAACTGATATTATTTACTAAAGCAACTAGTATCTTATACCTAGAGTACCCTATTTAGAAATATGAAATGATTCGTCAATTTCTAGTGAAATTATTCTTCTCATCATAAACAGCTTATCTAACTATTTAAATTATCTTAAGAACGTATAAAATAAAAAAATTTGTCATAAGTTTCTATTCAATAAAGGACACTTGTGAGTATGTGCATAATATAAAGTTTAAATAATTCTACAGTGACAAAAGATCCAAAGAAATATTTACTTTGATCTTTATAAATAATTACAATTCAGGATCCTGCATAAGGTATATTTAATTATATTACTAACATTTTGCTCAATTAATTTAAAATAATCATAGGACTAGTACAAGTGCTAATCTTCACGAGACCATGTATTATGTTTGTATACCATATTATATACATTGATTTTTCATCTTTGATAATTTAAATATTATATGTCATATAATATAATTAGGGTTTGGGACTTGTTGCAYTTAAAATTATTGAAATATGCTGTCAAAATTATATAAATATGCAGCAAATTTTTGAYTTGGATTTTTAAAAATGCATAAAGTATATCATAAATTATTACTATAAAACTAAAAATAAAAATCTAAAAATTAGGTAGTGTACATTTAAGTCTGTAGGAGATAGGATTCATTAGGTTTTATTACAACTATACAGTTGTCGATAAAAATGTTGATTATTAAGTGATAAAGAGACTATCATCATAAACGAACTTACATGTTAGATTGTTAGATATGATAGACTTGACCATCCARTTATGATTTTTCCAGACAACTTAAAAAATATAAAAATGTAGAATATACCCAAATATGTTAAAAATTGCTCAAATATCCTCTTTTCTCAAAATATGATGGAATATGCAGAAATATGCAAATTCAAACTTAGTATTTAATTTTGTATATACTTTCATAAAACAAATTTATAACTCACCTAGATTAATCTACTACCACTACAAAAAAACATGCAAATGCAAGTCACGAACCCTAAATATAATAGTAGTTCCCATTTTTATCTTAAAATCATATCAAGTGAACTTAATGGGATTTTTTATTTGATCTAGGTAATGTCTAAGGAATACTAATTGTATTAAATACTAATAATGTTAATATTTTATTTTATATAATTATATTAATAGCTCAACATTATATTAATTTCAATACTTAGTTATCGAAGMATACAACATAGACTTACTTAAAATGTATTTTATGGTCTGATATTTTTATAAATCTTGATTTATAATTATTTCTTATCAATATTATAACAGTTATTTTATATCTATTTTAGTAATGTTAGTTATATTTATATTTATTTATTTTTTATTTCATATTAAATTTATAATGYAAAATGTAAATGTGTCCTTTATTTAATAACCATGAAGCTGCGGTGCACATTTCAGGTAATATATCAGGRATGGTCAGACCCTCAAACCCAATGTCACGCCTTAACATTTTTAATAATAATATAATAGGTTATAATATTATTTATTTTCGTGATCTTCATATTTTTTTTTTCATTATTATTGAACGGCTTATGACGTATCGATGGCCACCCTTATAATATGTTTATAATTTTCTCACTACCATTTCTATAACCATTAAATATAAAAATATGTAGATGGACTTGTGTGAATAATAATTGAAAGTGTTTGTCAAAATCCCTAAGTAGTTCCTACTACTTAGAACAGGTAACTGGTTTCTTATCAGGACTTAAGCTTCTGCCATTTACAGAAGAGAAAGACTTGAAATCAAAAAAAACTTAAATGAAGTTCATCAAATTAGGATGCAAGGTTCAATTATCAATAATAATAATAATAATTATATTAATCATTGTGTCATTAAAAATATGTTGGTCAAAACGCATCAATCAAACTGATTTTATTGATAGAATAAACCTCTTACATTTGAGAAGTGCTTATTATTGCTCCTTTACAATGTTTCCAAAATAAAATAGATCATATTTTTGTTCTCCCGCCAGATTKAAACAATAAACTTTCAACTCAATTTAATAAACCTAATCTATTATATAAATGTGAAAATTAAAAGTTTTGTAAAAAACTTTTTATTACATTTTCATTTTGATACAATTTGTTATTATTTTAAGATGTACCTACAAACAATTATTAATAGTTTTAAAATACTTATAATTCGCTTTAATATTAAAATATAATAAAAATCTCTYRAGGTCATCTAAATAATACTTAAATCTTTACATTTTATAAGAGGTAAATTCACTCTAGTGGCTAGTTTTTAAACTAACGGAGCTAAACGAGATCTACTGATTCTGCTGAATGTAAAATTTGCTAAGTTATGCACTAGTAAGGCGGATACAACACATCCAGGTATAATTTCCTCCTAATTTCTAATATTATAACCATTAATTAGTCATATGCATTTTTTAATGGAGGTCTYTGCCTTATAATTCATAGCTTATATAGTGACGGACACAATATTTATCTTGTTTGACAGGTTTGGTTGATGATAAATAGTTCTATTAGCAGTAGTTATTGGCCATTATATGAACGGCTGTGAGTATTAAAATTTAATAAAATCGTTTTAATTACTACCCACCAAGTACTTCCTCTGAGAGAAAACATGTTTATCGGTCAATATACTTGAGATTTTGGAATTTTGGATACCCACCAGCGAGTTCTATATTAAAGTATTAATAATTAATATAATATGATAATGTTATAAACAATATTTGCATTTGAATTAAAATAAGACAACATAAAACAAAAAGTATTCATCATAACATGTGATTGGACATTTTTTGTCTCTCTAAATCTAATTTCAAATTCGCTTGATTCTTTTTAAATTTACCTTTGAATTACATACAATTCTGTATTATACATTAAACAATAAATCATAATATTTTATTGTAATCAGTCAATTATATTATTTTACATTTATTGCAAGATTTAATTTCTTATTATTTATTTGAGGTTTTGCTTTTCACCATGTCTCTAAACTGAGTAAGAATTTTATTTTCTCTCTTCTGTCGTTCTTCTTTACTGAACATAGCCAATGCACGTTTTTCATCAGCAGAATAAATTTGATTTTCTTTACGGATACGTACAGCTTCCATGCGTCTATGTCGACTTCCGCTCATTACATACCCAACAGCMTCATAAGATGATATTTCATCACATGTCAAACCAATTTCACCACGTCGAGGAATACGTTTACCATCTTGTACATAAGCTGCCATGGCTGCTCCTTCTCCGGGCAATAAAGCGCGGCCATACTCTTTTTGTGTTAAAGTTACATTAGGCTTTGGTAATGGCCCTACCATGTCATCAACGCTAGTTTCTTTGGCACCTAATACATAAATAAATAATTAATTTCATAAAAATATTTTTTTTTTAAATGCGCATATTAACCTTTTTTCTCAATCCATTCATCACCATCGCCTTCACTACTTGAATTACTTGAACTATCTGATGATAATTTTCTCTTCTTTTTTTTCTTATGTGATTCTTTGTGCTTTTTTACTTTTTTGGACTTTTTTGATTTCTATAAATAATAAAATAAAATAAATAAATAAMAAAATTACTTGTAAATATGACTACTTTTAAAAATATTACCTTTAATTTATCTTTTTGTTTCTTTCTTTTCTTATGCCATTTAACTGGAGCGGTTGCGAGATTATTTTGATTCAAAGTGTTTTCTTCATCCGTATCTAAACTATTTTGAACAAGGTACAAAGTAACAACTGTTATTATTCATAATATCATGTGTCTGGAAAATATTTAAGTACAGTTAAAAAATTCACATTCACATCATTAGTAAATTTTTAATAAGCTTTTTAATGTTTTATGAATCTTTAAATGATATTCATACAGATTTGTATTATAAACTATTTATGGTTAGACACTAACCTATAGGAAACAAAACTAAAATATTCTCTTAAGATGAGCATGCTACAATTGATTTGGCAGTAATTTCTGGTCAATAAATGCAGAACAAAAATTATTGACCAAAATAATGTACACATATAGATATTTTTGATTTTTTTTATCAAATTAAATTTGGGTCATAAAATTAAAGGATTTGTTGAGCTAGATTTATAATATAAAGCTAGTAAAAAAAAAAATTAAGGATCATTATGTAGCGTATAATGATTATTTTTTACTTTTAATTTTAATTAAACAAAAAAAATACAAATTACCAAACTCTAAATTTAATTAAAAACAAAATTAACATAAAAACTTAAAAAATTATATATAGTAAAAATCAGTTA